CTCTTTAGTTTAATTAGATCCCATTTGTCTATTGTGGCTTTTGTTGCCATTGCTTTTGGTGTTTTAGTCATGAAATCTTTGCCCGTGCCTATGTCCTGAATGGTACTGCCTAGGTTTTCTTCTAGGGTTTTTATGATATTAGGCCTTACCTTTAAGTCTTTAATCCATCTTGAGATAATTTTTGTATAAGGTGTAAGGAAGGAGTCCAGTTTCAGCTTTCGGCATATGGCTAGCCCGTTTACCCAACACCATTTATTAAATAGGGAATCCTTTCCCCGTTGCTTTTGCCAGGTTTGTCGAAGATCAGATGGTTGTAGATGTGTGGTGTTATTTCTGAGGTCTCTGTTCTGTTCCATTGGTCTGTATCTCTGTTTTGGTACCAGTACCATGATGCTTTGGTTACTGTAGCCTTGCAGTATAGTTTGAAGTCAGGTAGCATGATGCCTCCAGCTTTGTTCTTTTTGCTTAGGATAGTCTTGGCAATGCGGGCTCTTTTTCAGTTCCATATGAACTTTAAAGTAATTTTTTTCCAATTCTGTGAAGAAAGTCAGTGGTAGCTTGATGGAGATAGCACTGAATCTATAACTTTGGGCAGTATGGCCATTTTCACGATATTGATTCTTCCTACCCATGAGCATGGAATGTTTTTCCATTTGTTTGTGTCCTCTTTTATTTCCTGGAGCAGTGGTTTGTAGTTCTCCTTGAAGAGGTCCTTCACATCCCGTGTAAGTTGGATTCCTAGGTATTTTATTCTCTTTGTAGCAATTATGAACTGGAGTTCACTCATGATTTGGCTCTCTGTTTGTCTGTTATTGGTGTATAGGAATGCTTGTGATTTTTGCACATTGATTTTGTATCCTGAGACTTTGCTGAAGTTGATTATCAGATTAAGGAGATTTGGGGCTGAGACGATGGGGTTTCCTAAACATACAATCATGTCATCTGCACGTAAAGACAATTTGACTTCCTCTTTTCCTATCTGACTATCCTTTATTTCTTTCTCTTGCCTGATTGCCCTGGCCAGAACCTCCAATACTATGTTGAATAGGAGTGGTGAGAGAGGGCATCGTTGTCTTGTGCTGGTTTTCAGAGGGAATGCTTCCAGCTTTTGCCGATTCAGTATGATATTGGCTGTGGGTTTGTCATAAATAGCTCTAATTACTTTGAGACACATTCCATCAATGCCTAGTTTATTGAGAGTTTTTAGCATGAAGGGCTGTTGAATTTGTCGAAGGCCTTTTCTACATCTATTGAGATGATCATGTGGTTTTTGTCGTTGGTTCTGTTTATGTGACAGATTACATTTATTGATTTGTATATGTTGAACCAGCCTTGCATCCCAGGGATGAAGCAGACTTGATCATGGTGGATAAACTTTTTGATGTGCTGCTGGATTCGGTTTGCCCATGTTTTATTGAGGATTTTCACATTGATTTCATCAGAGATATTGGCCTAAAATTTTATTTTTCTGTTGTGCTTCTGCCAGGTTTTGGTATCAGGATGATACTGGACTCATAAAATGAGTTAGGGAGATTTCCCTCTTTTTCTGTTGATTAGAATAGTTTCAGAAGGAATGGTGCCAGGTCCTCTTTGTATTATCTCTGACAGAATTCAGTTGTGAATCCATCTGGTCCTAGACTTTTTTGGTTGTCAGGCTATTAGTTATCACCTCAATTTCAGGGACTGTTACTGGTCTATTCAGAGATTCAGTTTCTTCCTGGTTTAGTCTTGGGATGGTATATTTGTCCAGGAATTTATTCATTTCTTCTAGATTTTTTAGTTTATATGCATAGAGTTGTTTATAGTATTCTCTGATGGTAGTTTGTATTTCTGTGGGATCGGTGGTAATATACCCTTTCTCATTTTTTATTGCATCTATTTTTATTCTTCTCTCTTTTCCTCTTTATTAGTCTGGCTAGCAATCTGTCTATTTTGTTGATCTTTTCAAAAAAACAGCTCCTGGATTCACTGATTTTTTTTGAAGAGTTTTTTCTATCTCTATCTCCTTCAGTTCTGCTCTGATCTATTTCTTGCCTTCTGCTAACTTTTGAATTTGTTTGCTCTTGCTTCTCTAGTTCTTTTAATTGTGATGCTAAGGTGTCGATTTTAGATCTTTCCTGCTTTCTCTTATAGGCATTTAGTGCTATAAATTTCCCTCTACACACTGCTTTAAATGTGTCCCAGAGATTCTGGTATGTTGTGTCTTTGTTCCCATTGGTTTCAAAGAACATCTTTATTTCTGCTTCATTTCATTATTTACCCAGTAGTCATTCAGGAGCAGGTTGTTCAGTTTCCATGTAGTTGTACGGTTTGAGTGAGTTTCTTAATCCTGAGTTCTAATCCTGATTGCACTGTGGTCTTAGAGTTTGTTGTGATTTCTGTTCTTTTACATTTGCTGAGGAGTGTTTTACTTCCAATTATGTGGTCAATTTTGGAATAGATGTGATGTGGTGCTGAAAAGAATGTATATTCTGTTGATTTGGGGTGGAGAGTTCTGTAGATGTCTATTAAGTCTGCTTGGTCCAGTGTTGAGTTCAAGTCCTGGATATTCTTGTTAATTGTTTGTCTCATTGATCTGTCTATACTGACAGTGGGGTGTTAAACTCTCCCACTATTATTGTTTGGGAGTCTACGTCTCTTTGTAGGTCTCTAAGAACTTGCTTTATGAATCTGTGTGCTCCTGTAGTGGGTGCATATATATTTAGGATAGTTAGCTCTTCTCGTTGCATTGATCCCTTTACCATTATGTAATGCCCTTCTTTGGTTTTTTGGATCTTGGTTGGTTTAAAGTCTGTTTTATCAGAGACTAGGATTGCAATCCCTGCTTTTTTTGTTTGTTTGTTTTTGTTTCCCATTTGTCTGGTAGATCTTCCTCCATAACTTGAGGTCAAGAGATCGAGACCATCCTGGCCAACATGGTGAAACCCTATCTCTACTAAAAATACAAAAATTAGCTGAGTGTGATGTTGTGGGTCTGTAGTACTAGCTACTCAGGAGGCTGAGGAAGGAGAATCACTTGAACCCAGGAGGCAGAGGTTGCAGTGAGCCGAGATTGCGCCACTGTACTCCAGCCTGGTGGACAGAGCGAGACTCTGTCCCCAAAAAAAAAAAATCATCATCCCTGAAGTCTGCCTTGGACTCTGCCTTTCCAGTACATGCATTTGTTACTTGACAACTGGTCAAATACTAAGGAAAGCAGTTTTTGAAAGAAAAGGTGTTATCTTATTCTTTGAAATTAAAAGGGGATTTTGTCTTACACCTTAGGTAACAGCATGGCCACAGCAGGGCAGAGCACCAAGGAAGCTCTTGGGGTTGCTAATTCTAGGACGTGACCCTATGATGGCACTTTTGGCCTGATCTGAAGCAGAGGGGAGCTCAATGCCCTAAAGGTTAAGTCCCAGGCCAGGCAGCATTCACAACAAGCCAACTAAAGAGAACTCGGGCCTTAAGGGAACATCATAGGTAGTCTGGCAGTACTCCTTGCGGCCTGGGGTAGCAATGGCTATGGAGTGAGGCTCTTCTGCTTTTGGGAAAGGGAGGGAAGAGTGGGGAGGATTGCTTCTTGTCATTTGAGTGCCAGCTCAGCTACAATACAATAGAACACCAGTGGACTTCTAAGGTTTTTGACTCTAGTCCCTGACTCCCAGACAGCACTTCTGGACTCACCAAGGGCTTGGGATATCTTGCCATCCTGCAGGAAAGGACATGGACCTGGCTAGCTTTGTCACTTGCTGATCATAAAGCCCTGGACCCTTAAGCAAACACAGGCAGTAGCCAGGGAGTAGCGACAGCAGGCCTTAGGCGAGACCCAGGCTGTGCAGGCTTCAGGTCTGACCCAGCACAGTCACAATGCTGGTGGCCACAGGGGTGCTTAGGTCACTCTACCCACAGCTTTAGGTGACTTAGAATAGAGACTGTATGTTTGGGAGAAAGTAAGGGAAAAGAACAAGGGTCTCTGCCTGGTAATCCAGAGAATTCTCCCAGTTCTTGTACAAGACTATCAAGACAGTACCTCTATGAGTCTGTAAGAATCACAGCATTACTGGGTTGGGGTGCACCCTAAAGCTTAGAGCATAACACCCAGCTCTTTTCCAATATCTGAAAAGCCTTCCCAAAAAGGATGGCTACAAATAAGAATAGATAGAGAAGCCTACAATAAAAACTCAACTCTTCAATGCTCAGACAATGAAGAACATCTACTAGCATCAGCATCACCAAAGAAAATAATCACTGCAAGGTACAAAACTCAGTGGCAATAATAAGTACACAGAAAAACAAAGAATGTCATAACACTGTAACTGTGGTGTGTAAACTACTCTTATCCTACATAGAAAGACTATATGATAAACCAACCAAAAATAATAACTACAATAACTTTTCAAGACAGTCAATACAATAAACATATAAATAGAAACAAAAAAAAAGTTAAAAAGCAGGGGGACAAAATTAAGGCATAGAGTTTTTATTAAGTTTCCATTTTGCTTGTTGTTTATGCAAAAAGTGTTATCATCAGGTTAACATAAAGGGTAATAAGATAGTATTTGCAAGCCTTACGGCAACCTCAAACCAAAAAACATACAATAGATATGCAAAAAATAAAAAGCAATAAACCAAATCATATTACCAGAGAAAATCAGTTTCACTAGAGGAAGACAGGAAGGAAAGAAAAGGAAAAAAAAAAAAAAAACAAGAAAGAGAAGACCACAAAACAATCAGAAAACAACAAAATGGCAGGAAATAATTTCTTACTTATCAATACTAACACTGAATATAAATGCACTAAACTCTCCAACTTAAAAACATAGACTGGCTGAACGGATGAAAACCCACTCATCTGCTGCCTACAAGAAACACACTTCACCTGTAAAGACACACATAAACTAAAAATAAAGGGATAGAAAAATGTACTCCATGCCAACGAAAACCAAAAAAGAACAGGAGTCACTACACTTCTATGAGACAAAACAGATCTCAAGACAAAAATGATAAGAAGAGAGTCGGGGGTGGTGGGAGAAGGAGGAGGCGGTGAACCACTTATAAATGGCGCTGAAGCAGGACCCGAAGCCTAAATTCCAGGAGGGTGAGTGAGTGCTGTGCTTTCATGGGCCTCTTCTTTATGAAGCAAAGTGTGTAAAGGTTGCCATAAAGGACAAACAAGTGAAATACTTTATACATTACAGTGGTTGGAATAAAAATTGGGATGAGTGGGTTCCAGAGAGCAGAGTACTCAAATACATGGACACCAATTTGCAGAAACAGCGAGAACTTCAAAAAGCCAATCAGGAGCAGTATGCAGAGGGGAAGATGAGAGGGGCTGCCCCAGGAAAGAAGACATCTGGTCTGCAACAGAAAAATGTTGAAGTGAAAACAAAAAAGAACAAACAGAAAACACCTGGAAATGGAGATGGTGGCAGTACCAGTGAGACCCCTCGGCCTCCTCGGAAGAAAAGGGCCCGGGTAGATCCTACTGTTGAAAACAAGGAAACATTCATGAACAGAGTTGAAGTTAAAGTAAAGATTCCTGAAGAGCTAAAACCGTGGCTTGTTGATGACTGGGACTTAATTACCAGGCAAAAACAGCTCTTTTATCTTCCTGCCAAGAAGAATGTGGATTCCATTCTTGAGGATTATGCAAATTACAAGAAATCTCGTGGAAACACAGATAATAAGGAGTATGCAGTTAATGAAGTTGTGGCAGGGATAAAAGAATACTTCAACGTAATGTTGGGCACCCAGCTACTCCACAAATTTGAGAGACCACAGTATGCCGAAATTCTTGCAGACCATCCCGATGCACCCATGTCCCAGGTGTATGGAGCGCCACATCTCCTCAAATTATTTGTACGAATTGGAGCAATGTTGCCCTATACACCTCTGGATGAGAAGAGCCTTGCTTTATTACTCAATTTTCTTCACGATTTCCTAAAGTACCTGGCAAAGAATTCTGCAACTTTGTTTAGTGCCAGCGATTACAAAGTGGCTCCTCCTGAGTACCATGGGAAAGCTGTGTGAGAGGCACACTCACTCACTTATGTTTGGATCTCCGTAAACACATTTTTGTTCTTAGTCTATCTCTTGTACAAATGATGTGCTTTGAAGATGTTAGTGTATAACAATTGATGTTTGTTTTCTGTTTGATCTTTAAACAGAGAAAATAAAAGGGGTAATAGCTCCTTTTTTCTTTTCTTTTCTTTTTTTTTATTTCAAATTTGCTGCCAGTGTTTTCAATAATGGACAACAGAGGGATATGCTGTAGAGTGTTTTATTGCCTAGTTGACAAAGCTGCTTTTGAATGCTGGTGGTTCTATTCCTTTGACACTACGCACTTTTATAATACGTATTAATGCTATATGACAAAATGCTCTGATTCCTAGTGCCAAAGGTTCAATTCAGTGTATATAACTGAACACACTCATCCATTTGTGCTCCTTGGTTTTTTTTTTTTTGTTTTTTTTTTAATGGTGCTTAAAGAGCCCATCCTTTGCAAGTCATCCATGTTGTTACTTAGGCATTTTATCTTTGCTCAAATTGTTGAAGAATGGTGGCTTGTTTCATGGTTTTTGTATTTGTGTCTAATGCACGTTTTAACATGATAGACGCAATGCATTGTGTAGCTAGTTTTCTGGAAAAGTCAATCTTTTAGGAATTGTTTTTCAGATCTTCAATAAATTTTTTCTTTAAATTTCAAAAAAAAAATAAGAAGAGACAAATGGGTCACTATATAATGATAAAGAGGTCAATGCAGCAAGAGGATATAACAATTTAAAATATATAGGCATCCAACCCTGGAACACCCCGACATACCAAGGAAATAATATTAGAGCTAAAGTGAGAGATAGACCCCAATAAAATAATAGCTGGAGACTTCAGCACCCCGCTTTCAGCACTGGACAGATCTTCCAGACAGAAAATCAACAAAGAAGCATCAGACTTAATCTGCACTATAGACCAAATGGATCTAATACATATTTACAGACCATTTCATCCAAGAGCTGCAGAATACACATTCTTTTTCCTCAGTACATAGATCATTCTTAAGGATAGACCATCTGTTAGGTCAATAAACGGGTCTTAAAACTTTCCAAAAAACTGAAATAATATCAAGCATCTTCTCTGACCACAATGGAAAATTAGAAATTAATAACAAAGGAATTATAGATACTATACAAATATATGGAAATAAAACTCTATGTTCCTGAATGGCCAATGGGCCAATGAAGACATTAAGAAAGAAAACTGAAAAATTTCTTGAAACAAATGATATTGGAAACATAATATAGCAAAACATATAGGATACAGCACAAGTAATATTCAGAGGAAAGTTTATAGCTTTATGTGCATACATCAAAAAAGAGAAAAAACTTTATTAAATAAACAATCTAATGATACATCTTATAAAACTAAAATAGCAAGAGCAAACCAAACCCAAAATTAGAAGAGAAAAAATAAAGACAGAAAAAACAAATGAAATTGAAATTTTAAAAATACAAAAGATTAATGAAACAAAAATTTTTTTTTTCAAAAGTTAAAACAAAATTGACCAATCTTTAGCCAACCTAAGGAAAAAAAAAGAAAATACGAATAAATAAAATCAGAAATTAAAAAGGAGGCATTACAACTGATACTACAGAAATTCAGAGGATCATTAGTGGTTACAATGAGCAACTATATGCCAAAAAATTGGAAAATCTAGAAGAAATGGACAAATCCCTGGATACATACAATCTAACAAAACTAAACCAAGAAGAAATCCAAAATCTGAACAGACCAATAACAAGCAATGAGATCAAAGCTGTAATTAAAAGAAGTCTCCCAGTAAAGGAAAGCCAATGGGTTCACTGCTAAATTCTACCAAACATTTAAATAAGAACAAATGCCAATCCTACTCAAACTATTCCAAAAAAGAGAGGAGGAGGGAATACTTCCAAACTCATTCTACATGTCCAGTATTACCCTGACACCAAAACCAAACAAAGAAACATCAAAAAAAAGAAAACTACAGGCCAGTATCGCTGATGAATATTGATGCAAAAATACTCAACAAAATAGTAGCAAGCCAAATTCAACAATACATTAGAAAGATAATTCATCATAACAATGTGGGATTTATCCCTATGATGCAAAGATGGTTCAACATACAAAAACCAATCAACATAATTCACCATATCAACAGAATGAAGGATAAAAATCATATGGTCATTTCTGTTGATGCTGAAAAAGCATTTGATAAAATTCAATAGTCCTTCATAATAAAAAAAAAACTGGGAATAAAAGGAAAATGCCTCACATAATAAAAGCCATATATGACAGACCCACAGCTAGTATACTAAATAGAGAAAAAACTGAAAGCCTTCTCCCTAAGATCTAGAACACAACAAGGATGTCTACTGTCATCACTGTTATTTAACATAGTATTGGAAGTTCTAGCTAGAGCAATTAGATAACAGAAAGACATAAAGGACATCCAAATTGGAAAGGAAGAAGTCAAATTACTCATTTGCTGATGATATGATCCAATGTTTGGAAAAACCTACAGACGCCACGAAAAAACTATTAGAAGTAATAAACAAATTCAGTAAAGTTGCAGGATACAAAATCAACATACAAAAAAATCAGTAGCATTTCTATATGCCACCAGTGAAAAACATGAAAAAAATTTAAAAAGTAATCTCACTTACAATAATAGCCACACATAAAATTACCTAGGAATTAACCAAAGAAGGGAAATATCTCCATAATAACTATAAAACAATTATTAAGAAATATGACAAGAACACCAAAAACTGGAAAATTACTCCATGTTCATGGATTCAAAGAATCAATATTGTGAAAATCTCCATGCCACCCAAAGCAATCTACAGATTAAATGCAATCCCCATCAAAACAGCAGTGACATTCTTCACAGAAATAGAAAAAATAATCCTAAAATTTACATGGAATCACAAAAGACCCAGAATAGGCAAAGTTATCCTAAGCACAAAGAACACAACTGGAGGAATCACATTACCTGACTACATATTATACTACGGAGCTATACTAACCAAAACAGCACGGAAATGCCATAAAAACACATAGACCAATGGAACAAAACAGAGAACCCAAAAACAAACCCATACACCTACAGTGAACTCATTTTTGACACAGGTGCCAAGAACATACACTGAAGGAAAGACACCTCTTCATCAAGTGATCCTGGGAAAACTGAATATTGATAGGCAAAAGAATAAACTAGACCCCTATCTCTCAACATATACAAAAAACAAATCAAAATGGATTAAAAACTGAAATCTGAAACCTCAAACTATGAAACTACTACAAGAAAACACTGGGGAAAATCTCCAGGACATTGGTCTGGGCTAATATTTCTTCAGCAATACCCGACAAGCACAGACAACAAAAGTAAAACTTGATAAATAGGATCACATCAACTTAAAAAGCTTCTGTACATGAAAGGGTACAACCAACAAAGAGACAACCCACAGAATGTGAGAAAATATTTGCAAACTACCCATCTGACAAGGTATCAATAACCAGAATATATAAGGAGTCCAAACAACCCTACGGGAAAAAATCTAATAATGCGATCAAAAAATAGGCAAAAGATTTGAATAGATATTTTTCCAAAAAAAGATATACAAATGACAAACAGGCATATGAAAAGGTGTTCAACATCATTGATCATTAGAGAAATGCAAATCAAAACTACAATGAAATATCATCTCACCCCAGTTAAAATGGCTTATGGCAATAACAAATGCTCGCGAGGATGTGGAGAAAAGGGAACGCTTACACAGTTTAGGTGGGAATGTAAATTAATATAACCACTATGGAAAACAGGTTGGAGGTTCCTCAAAAGCTGAAAATTGAACTACCATATGATCCAGCCATCCCACTGCTGGTATACACCAAAAAAGGAAATTAGTAGATTTGGAAGTGATCTCAGTGCCAATTAACAGATGAATGGATAAATAAAATGTAGCACATATATACAATGGAGTATATTCAGTCATACAAGAAAATGAGATTCAATCATGTGCAACAACATAGATGGGATTGGAGATCATTAGGTTAAGTGAAACAAGAAAGACAAACATCACGTGTTCTCACTTATTTGTGGGATCTAAAAATCAAAACAATTGAATTCATGGACCTAGAGAGTAGAAGGATGGTTACCAGAGGCTGGGAAGAGAACTAGGGGGCTGAGGGGCAGGTGGGGACAGTTAATGGCTATAATAAAAATAGAAAGAATGAATAAAACCTACTATTGATAGTATAATAGAGTAATATAGTCAATATTACTTAATCATATATTTTTAAATACCTTAAAGAATGTAATTGGATTGTTTGTAACTCAAAGGATAAATGCTTGAGGGGATGGATACCCCATTCTCCATGATGTGCTTATTTCACATTGCCTGCCTATATATCAAAACATCTCATGTAGCCCATAAATACATATACCTACTATGTACCCACAAAAAAAAATTTTAATGATTTCAAATTTCTAAAAAAGGAATAAAAAATAAAATAGCCACATGGTAGCATGTGCCTGTAGTCCTAGCTACTTGGGAGGCTGAGGTGGGAGGGCTTGAGCCCAGGAGGTTGAGGCTACAGTGAGCTATGTGATCATGACGGTGCACTCCAGCCTGGGCAACACAGCAAGACCCAGTCTCAAAAAAAGAAAAAAATATCCTAAAGCTCAACAATAAAAAAACCAAATAAAACAATTTAAAAATAAGCATAGGGCTTGTGTAGCCATTTCTCCAAAGAAGATATATCAATCTCTAATAAATACATAAAAAGATGCTTTGTATCATTTATACATAGGAAATGCAATTAAGACTACAATGAAATACCACTTCATACCATTAGGATGGCTACTATAAATTAAAAAAAAAAAAATGTAACAAGTGTTGATGTGGATGTGAAGAAACTGGAAACTAGCCAGCAAGAACACAAAATGAGGTACGGCCATTGAGGAAAATAATACAGCAGTTGCTCAAGAAATTAAAAATATAATTACTATAAGATCAAGCAATTCCACTTCTGGATATACACCCAAAAGAATTAATAACAGGGAGCTGAGATATTTGTATACCCACGTTAACAATCACTAAAATATTAAAGTAAACCAAGTGCCCACAGATGAATAAATATAGAAACAAAATGCGGCATATAAATACAATGGAAAATTATTCACCTTTTAAAAGGAAGACAATCTGGCATATTCTACAACATGAATGAACCTTGAGGACATTAAGCTAAGTGAAATTAGCCAGTCACAAAAAGATAAATACTATATGAGGTGCTTTAAATAGTTAAAATCATCAAAACAAACAGTAAACTGGTGGTCATAAGGGGAATGGGGCGGAGGGAGAAATGGGAATTTATTTTTTTAATGGGTTTCAGTTTTACAAGCTGGAAAGTACTGTGGAGATTGATGATGGTGATGGCTGCACATTATTAATTTATTTAACAACATTAAACTGTACAATTAAAAATGATTCAGATGGTAAAATTTATGTTAAGTGTATTTTATTACAATAAAGACTCAAAAAACTTTAGAGTCTTAAAAATCATTTAGTACACTTGACAAAAAGCATAGAAAATTATATTTAAAATAGGCATATGTTCTTCTATGTAAATTACACATCAATAAAGTCGGTTTCAACGAATGAGTAAATAGAAAACTTGAA